CATTTCACTTCAGACACCAGTGGTTGATATCCGCTTACTGTAGCCACTTGCTGACCTGGGGCACACCTGACAGAAGCGAGGCAACCTGTATGGTTCCATTGGACACTCCGACCACCACCACCATTCACACACACACTGACTCAGTCTAGGCAATGGAGGTGAAAGTGTCTTTGCCCTAGGGACACAACGGCAGTGTGCCACTTTACAGCCACTATTCGCCTACAGAGCCAACAGATCTGTAGACGACACCATTAACCTGGCCCTCCACCACATCCTACAGCACCTGGACTCCCCGGGACCTACGCCAGGGTCCTGTTCGTGGCCTTCAGCTCTGCCTTCAACACAATCCTGCCATCCCTGCTCCAGGACAAGCTCTCCCAGCTCATCGTGCCCGATTCCACCTGCAGGTGGATCACTGACTTCCTGACGGACAGGAAGCAGCGAGTGCGTCTGGGGAAGAATGTCTCGGACTCTCGGATTATGAATACAGGAGCCACACAGGGCTGTGTTCTTTCTCCCCTGCTCTTCTCCCTGTACACCAACCACTGCACCTCCAGCCACAACTCCGTGAAGCTGATCAAGTTCGCGGACAACACCACCCTCATTGGACTCATCTCCAACAACAATGAGTCCGCCTACAGGAGGGAGGTGGACCGGCTGGTGTCCTGGTGCAGTGGTAACAACCTGAACTGAACACCCAGAAGACAGTGGAGATGATTGTGGACTTCAGGAAGAGCACTGTCCCCCCGCCCCCACCCTCTGTGATGGAATCCTCCATCACCTCTGTGGAGTCCTTCCGTTTCCTGGGCACTACCATCACCCAGGACCTCAAGTGGGAGCCGACCACTTATTTTTATTATCTCTTTCTGACTGTTGCACTGAGCCAAAGCAATTTCCAAGTCTGTGACTTACATGGCAATAAAAATGATTCTGATACTGATTATTGTGAAAAAAGTAACGTATTGTTTACGTGTGAGTCTGTTGTGTGCAAACTACAACAATGTGCCTCCTGTTGTGTTAACGCTGTCTTTCGGTGCGTGTGGTTTGCAATGTTGACTCTTTTCTGCTATGACTCCGGACTTTTGCATAATCATTTTTCTAAAAGATTGTTGTTCAGATTGTTTTTTTACATAACTGTGGTCCTCCACGGTTCTTTTATATAACTGTGGTCGTTCATGGTTCTTTTTAATAACTGGTCCTCCATGGCTCTTTCTTCAAACTTGTGAAGGCACAGTGAAAGCAACAATACCAGTAGCTCATGTGAAACGAAAACGCAATTCTCGCATCCTTTTTGTCCCTTATACACCACTGTTTTTGGCACATTGACACGGAGAGCACTCCACTCTCTTATACATTTATAAGTTAAATTCTAAGCCTATGAATACAATTCAGAAAACATGGTGGAGGTAAGTATTCTTAAAAAGGTCGCATTTGTTATTAGTTAACATGTTTTTCATAAGGAGCAGCTGTAAAGATTACACAGGGTGTGATTTTTGGGGGGGAAATACAGGCCTTCCTCATATTTTTAAGTGGGAGAACTTACACAACTGGTGGCTGACTGAATACTTTTTTCCCCACTGTAATTATGTAAATAAAGGCAATAGCAGTGCTGGTTCATCTGTCCTAGTGCAGGTCACTAGTGACATATTGTGCTGTCTGATAGTGGTGGGGATAAAGGCCCTGCGGTAGCGCTCCTTCCTACACTGAGGGTGCCTCAGTCTTCCACTGAAGGAGCTCCTCAGCTCCTCTACAGTCCTGTGCAGTGGGTGGGAGGTGTTGTCCATGATGGCGGTGACTTTAGCTAGCACCCTCCTGTTCCTCACCTCCTCTACAGAGTCCAGGGAGCAGCCCAGAGCAGAGCTGGCCCTCCTGACCAGCTGGTTCAGTCTACTCCTGTCCCGCTCTGTGTTGCAGCGGAGCCCAGCACATGGCAGCCCAGTGTATGGCAGAAGCTACCATAGTCATAAAAAGTCCTGAGCAGAGGTTTGCTCATAAAAAAGGACCTAAGCCTCCTCAGAAGGGGGAGGCGACTTTGGCCCTTCTTGTACATTGCATTGGTAATTGCATATTGCACCAGTCCAGTTTATTGTTAATGTGAACACCCAGGTTCTTGAAGCTGTCCACCAAATCCATGTCCTCCCCCTGGATGTTCAGTGGCGTGCGGGATAGTGGTTTTCTCCTGAAGTCTACTACCATCTCCTTGGTCTTACTGGTGTTCAAGTACAAGTGGTTGCGCTCACACCAGTCGACAAAGTACATGATAACCGACTGGTATTCCAGTTCATTTCTCCTCAGACACACAGCCCACGATGCTTCTGCAGGTGGCAGTTGTGTGTGTCGTATGCGAAGTCCGAAGTGTAGATGGTGAAGAGAAACGGTGAGAAGACAGTGCCCTGAGGGGCCCCAGCACTGCAGACTACCACCTCAGACTCACAGCTGCGCGGCCGCACGTACTATGGTCGGTCCGAGAGGTAGTCGATGGTCCATGCAGTGAGATTATAATCCACTCCCGCGTCCTCCATCTTCTCCCACTGCAGTGCCGGGCTGAGAGTGTTGAAAGCACTGGTGAAGTTAAAAAAACATGACCATCAGAGCGCACCTGGCGGGCTCCAGGTGGGAGAGCGTCCGCTGCAGTGCGTCCTCTACTCCGATGTTGGGCCTGTAGGCGAACTGCAGAGCATCCAGGGTGGGGCTGACCACAGAGCGGAGATGGGTGAGGATAAGCCGCTCCATGGTCTTTATTAGGTGGGAGGTCAGTGCGACTGGTCTATAGTGAGCCTGTTCCTTGGCGTTTGCTATTTTAGGAACAGGGATCACACAGGATTGTCTTCCACAGGACAGGGACCATCTCCAGGTTCAGGTTGTAGATGTAGCTGAGGACTTCAGAGAGCTGGTCTGCACAGGTCCACTGCAGCTTGGAGGCAGTGTCCACTGAGCGGTGTCCACTGGACCTCTCCACGCATCATGGGCATTCCCTGCGCCACACGAATCGAACCGGTTGAAATATTGGTTAAATGCATCCACCCGGCGCTGGTCTCCATCCGCTGTCCCTATGGCACTGTGTCCGAATCCGGAGATGTTTCTCAGACCTCTCCACACGTCATGGGCGTTCCCTGCGCCAGCTTCTGTTCCAGCTTTTTCCCATGGTCCTTCTTGGCCCTCCTGATCCTCCACTGGAGCTCGTGCTGGATCCCTAACCCTGGATCCTCTTCTGCTCCTCTTTGTCCCCTGAGATGAAAGCTCTTTTCTTGAGGTTAAGCTCAGGGGTTACTGTACCTTTCTGATCGGTACAGTGTTATCCACACAGAAGAGTATATGGCTCACTCCACACTAAACTGTACAATGGGACAATATCATACATTTATGAACCAACAAAGTTTGTACCCTAACATTTTTTAATTCTATGTAGCTTATAGATGGGCAGCTAAAACCATTTCAAGAAAAATGGATGCCTTTCAAAAAAATAGTTTTCAACTTTGGGGACATATTTGTTACATTTAGGACATGTCGTGTTGGAGGCTTTGTAAATGGAAGAATGAATAGGACAGAGAAGACTATCAAATAGCTAATGGTTGGGGATAAAACTAGAATTAATCTGTAATTATACATTTTGCCTCAGGCAAAACAATATTTTTCAATAACTAGACATATTGGGCGTTTTGGACGTAACAATCATGTCCATTTTTGTTATGTCCAAAACGTCTGTCTTAGAGCGTCGTTGATAGTGCGGGTGTGAATGAATCTGTGTTTAAGTAGTGCCCCCTTCACTGTACAAACAAGCTGGAAACAAACAAGAGTGGGTGCTGTGAACATTCAGCAGTAACGGCCGTTGACTTTTTCGTGTCAATGACCAAAATGTAACACATTGGTACAGTTTAGTGTGGAGTGAGCCATATAAATGTTGTTCATGAGTGTGACTCTTTACTGAGGCCGTCTGTCCAGCTGGTCTTGAATCATCTTCTGTCACAAACTGCTCTTATCACGTTGCCCCGGTAGGCCGACACAAAGCAGAGACAATCATTTCAATGGCATTCTGACTTCATTTTAACTTAATGTGAGCTAAAATGAAGCTGACAAATGCTCTGCTCTAAACGTCTGAAGGTGAGTGTGTGTGCCTGGGGAGAACCTCCTGTGTCCTGGAGATGAGTGTATGCATGGGGGAGAACTTTCAAAGATGAGGTTCGTGACACAAAACAGGAGGTTGTATGTCGTGTTTATCCATTGAAATTAATGTGTGAACTGTTGTTTTAGTGTGACTTGTAGAACATGACATAGGCCTTCAGCTTAGATATAATATATATATACATATATCTATATATATATATGTGTTTAAATTTGCACTGTGCAACCTGCATGTGGGTTTGATGTGTGTGATGTGATTAGATTTATAATGACCGCCTTTCAATTCAATTTATTCAATGTATTTGTATATACACAAATTTCCCAGATCATCACTGTCCTTAGACCATCCTCCATTGACAAGGAACCACTCAGAAACCCTTTGCCACGTTTTTAAAAGGAGGAAAGACACAAAATGCAGGACTGCCAAAAATTTCAGTTTTAACTAACAAAAACTCAAATAATATAATTCAAGATACAGAACTCCAAACTCAAACCAAGAAGAACCAGGTACAAAAACACAATGAACCAACAAGAGGAGACAAGCACAGGGTTTAAATACACACAGGGACACACAGGTGAAACACATTAGGGCGGGACAGACAGACAATTGAACAGACACTGAAAAGAACCAATATAATCTAAATAAATTTAGGAAAAGTAACTAAAAGGTCTACTCCATGACACCCTGGCTGTAGAACCAGGACTGAGGCTGTGGATAAGATAAGATAACCCTTTATTGATCTCACAATGGAGAAATGTACATGTCACTTTTGGCAAAAAGACAGGAAAAATGCAAACATGTGAAAGTGAATAGAGTACTTAGTCTGTGTTGTGTTGCAGCCTGTGATGACGAGTGCTCGGGTCTCCTCATCAGTGATATGGAGCGTCTGTACCGGATCATTACGGAGGTCACTCTGAGCTCCCCGCTGCCCCCGCCCTACAACACTCTCTACCGTTTTGAGAACATGACCGAGGAGCTCAAGGTAAACCCCGGATCAGTCCAGTCCTTCATCCCTGTGGCGTCCTCAACTGTTTTTTTTTTTTTTTAATCTATCTTTTTTTGTTTGTTTTTTTAAATCTATTTATCAAGTTATTATCCACTTACCAAATACAATGTGATCCACTACACTACCTCCTCTATTCTCTATTTTCGATTGTATACTATTCATGCTATATTGGTTAACAATATACAGTATATTGATGGGTTTTTGGTTTTGGGCTGCTTTGAACATAAGCTGCTGGAACAGCAGCCTCACAGAGAGGGACAGGAAGAAGCTGGACAAAGTCATCAGGAAGTCCAGCTCTGTCCTGGGCTGTCCCTTGGATACCCAACATCTATGCTGGACCATGACTGTCACCCCCTGCAAGACACTCTCTCTGCTCTGCAAAACAGTTTCAGTGCAGAGTTTGCCATCCACCTGTTCATCTCAAGGGGCTTTCCATAAATAAATTGGAATTTAATTGAAATTCTGATAATCTACGAGTCAGTCTTATTAACTTAATTGCTGTTATTATTACAACATTATACATACAGTGCCTTGCGAAATTATTTGGCCCCCTTGAACCTTTCAACATTTTGCCACATTTCAGGCTTCAAACATAAAGATAAAAAAAAATAATTTTTTGTCATGAATCAACAACAAGTGGGACATAATCGTGAAGTGGAACGAAATTTATTGGATAATTTAAACTTTTTGAACAAATAAAAAACTGAAAAGTGGGGCGTCTAATATTATTCGGCCCCTTTACTTTCAGTGCAGCAAACTCACTCCAGAAGTTCAGTGAGGATCTTTAAATGACTGATCAGAGATGCAGCCAAGAGGCCCATGATCACTCTGGATGAAATGCAGATAACTACAGCTGAGGTGGGAGAGTCTGTCCATAGGACAACAATCAGTCGTGCACTGCACAAATCTGGCCTTTGTGGAAGAGTGGAAAGAAGAAAGTCATTTCTCAAAGATATCCATACAAAGTCTCGTTTAAAGTTTGCCACAAGCCACCTGGGAGACACACCAAACATGTGGAAGAAGGTGCTCTGGTCAGATGAAACCAAAATCGAACTTTTTGGCCACAATGCAAAACGGTATGTTTGGCGTAAAAGCAACACAGCTCATCACCTTGAACACACCATCCCCACTGTCAAACATGGTGGTGGCAGCATCATGGTTTGGGCCTGCTTTTCTTCAGCAGGGACAGGGAAGATGGCTAAAATTGATGGGAAGATGGATGGAGCCAAATACAGGACCATTCTGGAAGAAAACCTGTTGGAGTCTGCAAAAGACCTGAGACTGGGACGGAGATTTATCTTCCAACAGGACAATGATCCAAAACATAAAGCCAAATCTACAATGGAATGGTTCACAAATAGACGTATCCAGGTGATAGAATGGCCAAGTCAAAGTCCAGACCTGAATCCAATCGAGAATCTGTGGAAAGATCTGAAGACTGCTATTCACAAACGCTCTCCATCCAACCTCACTGAGCTCGAGCTGTTTTGCAAGGAAGAATGGGCAAGAATTCCAGTCTCTCGATGTGAAAAACTGATCGAGACATACCCCAAGCGACTTGCAGCTGTAATTGCAGCAAAAGGTGGCGCTACAAAGTATTAGCGCAAGGGGGCCGAATAATATTGCATGCCCCACTTTTCAGTTTTTTATTTGTTAAAAAAGTTTAAATTATCCAATAAATTTTGTTCTACTTCACGATTGTGTCCCACTTGTTGTTGATTCTTGAAAAAAAATTTTTTTTTTATATCTTTATGTTTGAAGCCTGAAATGTGGCGAAATGTAGAAAGGTTCAAGGGGGGCGAATACTTTCGCAAGGCACTGTATTCCATTCATCTGATAATTCTGTGCTGATGACTCACTAGTCAATATATTACTTTTGTTTATTATATTATAGCTACTTTAAAGTAAATGATAAATATAATATATACAGTACATATAATGTAAAGAAGATATTACCATTTACTATTTTTCTGTATTCTGGTCATATTCTCTGCTGTTAGGGGGCAATATAAACATCGGTAAATACCTCATGACTGCAGCTAACTACAGTGTATAGAGTCTATGGCAGGAGATTTTCCGTCCGGCTTTGTGATGCTGAGTCCTCCATGGCTTCACTTACGTGCGGGGGGTGCTTGGACCTCTACTGTTTTCATTGTATTTGTTGCCTCTTGGAGAGCTTCTTCGAAAACATAGAAAGTGTCGTTTGTTTTTATGCGGATGACTGTCAATTGTACGTGCCACTGACTCAGTCCAAGTCATTGATTGTATGTTTGGATGAGGTCAAAACATGGATGGCTTTTAATTTTTTGCATTTTAATAACAAGAAAACAGAGGTCATCATTTTCTCATCCACGGACACTGCAGCAGCTGTTCCTACTGAGCTTGCCCCCCTGGCCCAGGCTGTGAGCCCAGTAGGGACAAATCTTGGAGTAAAAATGGACTCCTCTTTAAAACTGGATGCCCAAATCAGTGTTGTTGTGAAGACCAGCTTTTTTCAACTGAGGCGACTTGCAAAGTCAAATCGTTTTTATCTCGTCATAACTTTGAAATTTTAATCCATGCTTTTATTACCTCTCGCTTAGATTACTGCAATTCCCTCTATACCGGACTCAGTAAAACCTCACTTTCACGCCTTCAATTAATCCAAAATGCTGCTGCCAGACTCTTAACTGGAACGCGCAAATTTGACCAAATCACCCCTATTCTTTGTTCTCTTCACTGGCTCCCTGTGCACCTTCGTATTGATTTTAAGATTCTGTTACTTGTGTTCAAATGTTTGCATGGATTGGCCCCTCAGTATCTGACGGATCTGCTCCACACTCCGTCACGGGCTCTAAGATCAGCAGACCAGCCTCTTTTAGTGGTCCCTAAGACCAGAAAGAAGTCGAGAGGGGATCGGGCTTTTGCAGCAGCAGCTCCCAGACTGTGGAATGGTCTGCCTCTGCATATTAGACTGGCGAACTCACTTCCTGTTTTTAAGTCGCTTTTTTCTTTTTACTTTGGCTTTTAACTCAGTGGGTTGACTTTCTGTGGAATTTGTATTCTTGTATATGTTTCTATATTATATTGTGTTTTTACTTGTGTTCAGCACTTCGGTCAAGTGTGTTGTTTTTAAAGTGCTCTATAAATAGAGTTATTATTATTATTATGGTCTGGGGGTTTGAAGGTTGAGTCTATGGTCTGTGGGTTTGAAGGTAGACAGTCTATGGTCTGTGGGTTTGAAGGTAGAGAGTCTATTATCCATGGGTTTGAAGCAGTGGGGGCGGGTCCCAGCTCAAAAGTGGCCAAAATGACGTGCGCTGACATGCTTGCAATACCACCCCTGGCCGATGGGGGTGGACCCAGAAGAAGAATTAGCCAATGCTAACATATAGCGTTGGCAGACCTCTCAAAAACGTCTTTACAGGATGGACCAAAAGTTGGCTCTTGGCCCAAAGCTCCGTTCCACATGTGTGTCAATGCTGAGGGGGGTGAATTTTTTTGGACCACTCTAGTTTACTCGCGGTGAATTTTTGAAGTCTCTCGTTCAAATGAATGAAGCTGCGCCGGCTGACGCATGCGCAGATGCGTTTTTCCACAATTTTCTTGTGGGCGGGACCACTCGCGGCCATCTTGGATTGCTCCATGAAAGCACTTTTCATGGCCAACTCCTATGAACGGCGGAGATAGGCGTGACTCTGTCCGTTATTATATACAGTCTATGGTTTGAAGGTAGAGAGTCTAGGGTGCCCAAACGTTTTGCTTCCAAGGGCCAAATTGAAAATATGCCAGTGGGCCGTAGGCCAAATACACTGATAATACATGTGAAACACAAATAAATGTAAATTTGATAAAGTTCCTTCAATGATTTTTGAATAATTAAATGCATGAATTATTTTCTATCAGTGCAAATGACAAGCTGAATGAAAACGAAACAACACAGCCTTAGTGAAGTGGAGGCTCAACATTTTAACATGTCTACCAAGGGAAATATGCTGGTTTGAGGCGGCAACAGTATGGAAAGACTGCCTGCTCTGGGAATCATGGTCCAGAGGAGGGGTATTTCTCAGTCGTTGTTTATTTACAGGTTATAATCATGTGTGTGTGTGGTCTGCAATAAAGAACAGACAAGATTAGCGGAACTCGTCCATATTTGGTAATTTCTCCGGTCTGGTTCTGCGCAGCTAACGAGATTCCATGTTGTTTTGCACCAAACTCGCGCGTGTGGCTCTCATGCACTTGCACAGAGGGGCACGGCGCGTCCTGACCGATCCGATGCCCAATCAGAGCGGAGCTCGAGCAGGAGACAATCAAGCAGAGTTTGTGGATTCATAGAAAACCAAAGGATTTAAGAAGAAAAAAAGTTCACAACAACATGAGACACTAATAACCTCATAAAATCCAACCTATATGAAAGCTGTAGGTTCTCGGTCAGCTGAGGTTGAGCTGTTTTTGTTTACATTGAGTTTTATGTGGAAAATTCTTGGGTAGCCCACAAGAATTTAATTCTTGTTTAGTCTACAGTACCACGAGAATCCCCCGAGCACATGGGTTCTTCAGCTCCAAGTTAGGTATACCCTATTCAGATATTATAATAGATCCATGTCACCAACGCACACTGACACTCAGGGAACAAGATGAATGCATCACATATGGCTGCCGTGTTGCTCTGACAATAGCATTCATGCTCAAAAGCGAAACCTAACACTAGGTTCACTTCTCTGCTTGGCTTTCCTACACGTCGTTAAAAGAACAACAAACAAGTGCAGCCACAAAATTGCAAATGTGAACAACAAAACTATATTTAACACTAAAATCTGCTTCAATTACATGAATTTAAAAGGCCTCTTGTCTGTTCCACTGCCAATGATGCTCCATTTAGTTAATTCTGCGAACTGCAAGCGTCAAGGCTCATGGGGGATCATCATAATTGCGAGCGACCTCAGTTAGAAACAATTGAGAAGGGTACCTTTCGGTGAGCCAATCGAAGCAGTCTG